CGTACGACTACACGTGGGTCTTTGTCGCGTTTGGTCCGTTCATGCTCTATCTTCTTTGCTGCTCCGGCGCCGGATGTATCGACTTGTGCAACCATTGCTACAAGTCGTGCGCGAAGTGCATAGCGGTCAAGCGGCTCGAGCGAGCAAAGCGGCAGCGCAAACGTGACGCGCAAGCCGCGCAGGCGCGGGCCGAGGCTGCGATATCACAAGCCGTGATCGTCTCCGAGATCCCCGCCATGTACGTAACCCAAGCGACGCCCTCTGAGGCACGAGCTGGTCGTTGACGATCGTTGCGGAATGGCGCAGTGATAGCGGTGGCTCGAGGACCCATCATACGATACCCAGGACAGACCTTTGTGCACAGATCTAGTAGCCGGAGCCCAAGGCGACAATCCATGTAAAAAAGCGTCATATTGTACATCGTCATCCCAGGGCTTTAGGTTGTTACACTACATCGCTGCGCAGGAATATAGCTTGCTTGTCCTCGAGATGCGGTCACTCGTCTGCTGTGAACACCAGAAGATTGACCCTTTCCGACATGTTCAGGAATCGGCGAACCTTCCATACGTGTTGCATCCAAACAGAAGTCGCATCATCTGATTGGGCGAGAGGGACATATATGGGCCATAAATCGCTGCTTGCTATTGGTGGAACCTTAATAGTGTGACGCATGACGCAGGCAACGTGTCCAGCCGGGAAGCGCGCCGCGGCTCTTGCTCACGTGCTCAGCGCGTCGCAGTCATCAGTTCCGACCAAACCTGTGCTCGAATCTTGCATGATGATTGTGCAAAGCTTTATATATTGACTGATGAATACGATATATGACTATGGTAGCTTATAATGTGCTTTGCAGGCGTTGTGCATCTCGATCTGCGGGATAGATCCAACCACATCTTCTCGCACACGGCGGGTATGATTGCTTGCCTACCTTCGCGACGACAAGATGAGGACACGTCCCGTCGCATGCCTTCTTGCACGCTCGGTCCAATCGGTACCACGTGTAGAGGCCGACTTCGCACGTGGCGGCCAACCTGTCGAGTTGTTGAGGGTGACTTGACGCCGGGGCATGTTCTTGTCATCGCGCTTGCGCTTCTTGCACCGAGTCGTCGGGGGAAGTACTTGTGTGTTGCAAGTAGTCGCGCGGTTTACTTCAACGTCGATGAGTTGACTTGACTGCATGTGAGCCACATCGCAGAGACCCAGATCCACAGAGCCTTGGTCTGGTGGACGCTGAGCGCGCTGTACAGCAGCAGTATCAAGCGCAGCCGGTTGGGAGCTGACAGTGGATGAAAAGCCCTTGCGCGCCGTTCGCATCGTTGTCAAGGCGTCGCGGATGCCGCCGAAAGAGGTGCGACTTGGATGCGAGACGACGGCGATCGCGCGGGGCGTACGGGCAGTACACCGTGTGCTGCCGGCGGATCCCGCAGAGGATGCAGACCGGAACTCCATTCGGTGCTACGACCCGAGTCTTCGGGCCCGGTCGATCCGCTCGGACTCGCGCTCGGACCTTGCGCGTGCGCTCTTCCATCTCTCTGTGGCTCTGAGGCACAGGAGACTCTCGCCAGGAAATTAGAAGTCGCGTCCAATGAATGTGCAGCAACCGGAAGTCTCCGCCAGTCATATTGAGTATATCATTTCTTAGCTATTTGATTGGTAAAAAAAGGCTCAGAGGGGTAGGTCTAGAGTTTGTCGGGTTGCAATTACTTGGTTCATACAAATTTTAAGTTTAATTTATGGATAAGGCCCTTGTCGTGCTACCAGCCACGAGAGCGCAGTGCTGGTGTGTACCAGCTAAAACACACAACGAATGCCCGGTTTCCCAGTGGCTTCCTTCCTTCTCTTTTCTCTCGCGCCATGTCCATAAAATTTTAGATTGCAACATTTATGGTGCATTCGCCCAGGAATCGTTGTGCGTCTCTGCGCCAGCGAATTTTCAACCGAACAGCTTGGTACCATAGATCGCGCAGACGCTGCACGTTGAGTTGTCGACCTTGACAATGATGGTGCGCGCGGTGCGTCGTCATCGCGATGAGACATGCGTCTATCTCGTAGAAAGACCCGTGTCCGATCTATTTTTCGTCCTGCTGAATCGGAGAAAGAGGAATGATGGGCGGGCATGTTGTTGTTTAACAGCAAAACCAGCACACTCACTTTTCAAACCGCAACCATGACGACGCACCACCTCCTTTTAACGCTGCTGCTGCTTCTCACCACAGCCTGCCACGCGGCTACAAGCTCGCCGACACCGATGCCGACTCTCTCGGCCTGCCAAGAGTGTGCCAACACTGGTCGGTGCCTCACCGCCGGCTCGGTCGGCGACGCTGGCAAATACTGCGGCATCTTCTTTCTCAACACAACAGCAAAGGCGTCGGGGCCGTGTTGCTGCTCCGTCGCGCAGATTTGCCCACCACCTGGCCAAGACACGGCATGTGCGTGCGCCAGCGTCAAGTCGGCCGCGCCCTACGTGCCATCGTACGACTACAGCTGGGTCTACATCCTTGTGTCGTCGGTGGCGCCATTCCTCCTCTTTTTCCCTGGCTTATGGATTTGGAACGCAGTCGACTCGTGCATTTCTCGGTGCCGGGAGCGCCGGGAGAAGCAAAAGCGTCAAAAGGCCGCTCGTCAGCGCGAGGCCGACGTACAAGCTGCGCGGGAACGTCGGGAAGCGGCTGCTCGGCAACTCGTGATCGTCACCAAGGTGCCCGCCACGCACTACGTCGCGTATGCAACGCCCGTGTATCCGAAATAAGAGGTTGACGCCTTGTGTGTATTCCTTGCATAGTACCATTCGCTATGTACCTCAACCCCAGTACTTCCTAACAGTTTTGCCATGTTCGGTCTCCCGCTTTGTTCATGGGTTGACAACGTGGCGTCACTTGGTCAAGATTCAATCGCTCTTCAATTGAATCTTATACAATCGCTGGCACCAGATGCTGCCACGTAAAGAAAGAATGATGGTCTCGTGCATCCCACACCGGCGCACCATGCAGCCGCGCACAACGGGCAGACTAAGGTTTGAAGCATCTACCTGGTGCTTGGTCTGCACATTTTTTGGAGATCGCAGTGCCCGTTGTCGCTCCATATTTTCCAAGGGAATAAATTTATATTTACCTACGAAATGAACCGACAAGTATATTTCTTCTGGCGAGTCGATGCCACTCGGTCACCCTCCATACATGCTTCTCCTTATTTTGCTTCTTCCTCTGGACGGCTCCATCCGTATCGTCGCACATACTAGTACCAGTACGCGCCAAGGGCACATATGCGTCCATAAAGATGACATTAATGTACATATGGGTGTGTACTCTTGGTACGAACCAGCTAGACTAGACTATATATTTACGCGCACTAGTAATAGGTGGCGTTCTTGCTGCGGGCATCTCGACCGCTTCACTGTGCCATGGCGCGCCGCTTGAGGCTTGGCGTGCTTGCTCGTCGCGGGCGGCCGCTCGTGCTGCCCGTTCTCGTGCGCGACGCTC